AACTGTTCGGGAGCATCACAGTGAAGACTGGCACAGGTGGGAGGTGACTTGCAGCGTTGGGGGTGGGATTGGGAACTTACAGTGTTGGGGACACAATGGAGGCAGTGGGGACCAAGGGTGGGGGAGGCAGGCCTGGTGGAGGGTAATCTGTACTCCCCACATGGCAGTAGTGGCAGCTGTGAGTGCTCCCGATGGCTGCTGCCACTTGCCCAAGGCCAGCCCTGGGCAAGCTTCAGTGGGAATGGGGGCAGGGAAGGCCAGCATAGACTTCCCACATGGCGGCGACTGAGTGGTCCAATGGCCGCTGCTGCTTGCCCAAAAGGATCAGAGGTTCCTTCTGCCAAGTGGCAGCAGAGCCGCTCTGCCAGGAAACCTCTGCACCTGCAGCGAAGGCAGGTGAGCGAGGCACAGCCCAGCAGGGAATGCAGGGGAGGGAAAGTCCGAGTTCCACAGCTAAGAGCTCTGGCCCGGCCACCCCCCCAGTTTGGCCTCCGGCACTGGGGGTCAGGGGTTCTGAGAAAGGCAGCTCTGGACAAAGTCACAACGGCTGCAAGGCCAGGGGCTCAAGGCAGCTGCAGGCCAGTTGGGGCGACACTGCTGCGGTTTATTCGCCGCCTGCAGGTGTTTACTGGTGCACGTGGGTGTTAGTTTTAAATGGAATGTGGTACTGGCTGCATGAGAGAGTGGAGCGTGGAGCCGTCACTCTATCTGGGGGACGCGGTGGGGCACACGCCGCAGCTTCCCCAAGGCGCTGTTTGCTGGCTATCCAGGCCATCCCCACTGCGGGCTTCCTGCTCAGTCCGAAGCTTGGGCCAGGAAGCTGGATAGTGAGTTCCATGCTGTCCAAGCCTTGGCTTAGATTGCATAGATTACGAGTTCCTGCCAGGGAACATCATCTTCTCTAGGCCTGGGCTCACTTCGTTCACATTTCGAAAACAAAGCCACCTGCTCCTCTTCAACTTTGAGGCCAGGCCATGCCAGACTGCACAGCCAATGGTTCTGGAGCAGATTTCACAGGCCCACATACTCACCAGCACACAGCACCCTGGCCACAGGTGGACTCCATCATCCTGGTGGCTTGAACCCTCGCTCTCTTATTCTGGATGTCCTCAGTCCATATGTGCCCGTCTGCCTCTCTGGCTTACAGTTCTGTCCGTGTACAAATGTGCTTCTGTTCGTCCGGTTTATCTTCAAAAGCGGGATGCTGGAAAAGCGGCGTCTGACTGCTCTCTGGGGTTGCTCCTCTGCGTGGACCTCCATCCTCTCATTGTGGGCCTGTCCGCTGAAAAGCCGGAGTTTGCATTTGGTCTATAGCCTGGCGGTGCGGACCCTGAAGCAAAACAACTGTCCGCTTCCAGTGCCCATGCGGTGGGGGTGGGGGAGGGGGCTGTATTACCTGGAGCCTGTTGTTCAGCTTTGAGGATAACAGGAGGCCTGGGCTTTGCACCATGATGCCGCATAAAATCCAAGGACCTCTCTGTTTCCAGTACTTTAACACGCTGTAAAACAATTCCACTCTTCTTCTCCTCTAAATCTAAACAGTCTTTTGTCATTAAAGTGAAGACGTAGAAAGAATGTGTTTACACTGGGCTCCAGTAGATTTTCACTGAAAACATATGTCCATTTTCAGAATGTTTATCCCAAGAGCGTTCCAAATAAATGAAAGAGTTCAAGACAGATACAGTATATGCCTCCAGATAAACACAGTGTGGGGCAAAAGTAGACTTACAGTTGTTTATATGAAAAGTAATACAGTAATTAATCTCTCTCTCTCTCTCTCTCTCTCTCTCTCTCTCTGTGTGTGTGTGTGTGTGTGTGTGTGTATGTGTATATATATATAAAATGCAGTGTCTCCTCAGGAGTTTGACCGGGAGACTGGGAAGTTAGATAGCTCACTGTGCAGGGGGTGACACGGTTTAGTTCAAGGTTGACCCTCTTGGTAAGGAATGGGAGTAAGGGGCATGATACAGGCATTTCTCTTGAAGAGCTTACAGTCTCAGTCGGAGAGAGTAAGACATACAGTGTTAAAAAGTTCAGTATTTCATGAGTTAAAAAGAGTACAAAACAAATACAAGAGGTCATACAGTGTTAGGCAAGTTTCAAATGAATGGAGGTTCAATACTTCAAATGGCAGTGGCTGTAAATGTGCATCTTACCCAAAGAACTGGACTTGGCCCTATGGCAACCCTTTGAAAACTCAGAGGTGAATCTTAGTAATTGTTCTCTTTTATTGTAAATTGCTTTGATTTTAACAGCCTCCTTGGGCCTTTTCCAAATTGCTAAACCTTTACTTCCCCCCAAGATTTTAGTATATGAAAGCTGAGTAAGTTAAGGTTGTTGGTCAAGAAGTAATGCCATCATGACCTTTGAGGTAGAATTTTTGGTCTACTTTCTTTTGATACCGTTTATTTCTACAAATTAAGCTGGTAATTGTCCACTCTGTTTGTAAATTCAGTTACTGGAGGAACACACATTTTTTAATGTTTCACCTAAACTAGATTCCAGAACCCACCTGTCAGCAAAGTGCTTATTTAACCTCTTGGGTTGGCTTTTATGTCTGTCTCAGCAATAAAGACAGGAAAGACAGATACAGTATATGCCTCCAGATAAACACAGTGTGGGGCAAAAGTAGACTTACAGTTGTTTATATGAAAAGTAATACAGTAATTAATCTCTCTCTCTCTCTCTCTCTCTCTTTCTGTGTGTGTGTGTGTGTGTGTGTGTGTGTGTGTGTGTGTATTATATATAAAATGCAGTATCTCCTCAGGAGTTTGACCAGGAGACTGGGAAGTTAGATAGCTCACTGTGCAGGGGGTGACACGGAACGAAGGAAGAAAGGCTCCAGTTGGCAGCTAGAAGGCCACATCAGCCCTGAATGCTGGCCAGGCATGGGGACCCTACCTATGCACAAATTTTGTGCACCGGGCCTCTATTAATAAATAATAGTACAAGAACAAACTGTTTCACATACAACTGTAAACTTCCTTTTGCCCCCCACTGTATATCTGACAAAGGATTCATATTCTGAATATATAAAGAACTCCAACAAATCCAATAAACAGATTATGCAAAAAAATATTTTTAAACAGGCAAAAGACAGAGAGGCACTTCACAAAAAAGTGGTATCCAGATGGCCAGTATGCATAATCACCCTGATTAGATGTCAGGAAAATGCAACCAAAACTACATTGACATACTCTTCTACTCCACCAAAAGAGCTAAAATTTAGAAGACTGACCACACCAAGTGTTGACAAGGATGTAGAGCAGTGCAAACTCTCATGTATTGCTGGTGGGCCTGTAATTAGTAGAACCATTTAAGAAAACTGGCAGTATTTACTAAAGCTCAAACATGTACACTCTATGACTCACTCCTGGTATACTCTCAAGAGAAATGAATACATATGTCCACCAAAAACATGTTCAGAAAAACTTTATTCATAGCAGACACTCAAAATGGGAACATTCAAATTTTCATCAGAAGGAGAATGTATATGTGGTATCTTTGTGAAATGGATGACAGCATAACAATGGAAAAAGACTGTGACATGTAATACATTGCGTATTCATATAAAGTGCTAAACAACAGTAAAAACCCACTACAGAAGAGCATATGCTATGTGATTCTTTTCTTTGACCTGAGCAGGTGAATGGATAGACATTGTGGTTCAGGACAAAAGAGTGGTTCCTCTGCCAGTGTAGAGGGAGGAGGCACAAGCTAGTATTGTGGGTGCTGGAGGGTGGGAGGCCGTGGGAAACATGAGGCAGAATACCCGTAGCAGTCAGTTTCCAACTGGACATAGCCAAGGTGATCCTTAACAGTGGACTGGGCAGATGTAATATTCATTAGTAGAATACAGGATGCAGCAATGAATGAATTGTACCTATAAGCAATAGCATGAATAATTTTCGCAATATTGAATGAAAGAAAACCATTTGTAAGAAAATGTACACTATGATTCCATTCATGTGAGGTTCAAACGTAGGCAAAACCTTAACTACAGCTTTGGAAATGAATTAGTGGGTTACTTTTTCAGAGGACAGAGTGGATAGAGATTGACAGGAGGAAGGGAGGGGCACTTCTGGTTTACTGGTGTTGTTGACTTGTGAGGTAATAACACCAGCATTTGCTTTGCTGTTTGACATTTTGCCTTACCATTTATGTTCTATGCATTTTTCTGGAAGCCTTTTATACTGGGGAGAGTAGGGGGAAAGGTAAGAAAACAAATACCTAAGTGGTCTGTAACTACTAAAGAATATGGAACATTTATCAATGTTTTCCTAAAAAAAAAACACACCAAAACACACACACACACACACACACACACACACACACACACACACACAAAACAGACAAAAAAACCCTGTTTTATAAAACTGAAAAAAAATTGTACTTCTTTTCATATACTACTTTTGCATTATTTATGGATTTTTCTATATTATTAAAAAAATTTCTTTGTAAAGTTTTTTTATTTCTTAGTATTTAGAAAGACATGTTTTATACTGAAATACACTTATAATCTATGTTAGCTTTTTGATCCTTTATCATTTTGGTAGTGTTTTATGAATTTTAAACATTCCTTTAACTATAAATTTTGGATAGTTTTTTTTTTTTTTTTCTCTTTAATACATGATATCTTTTGTAAAAAACCAAGAGCTCATGATTCCTTATCAGGTATCAGGCAAATTTGTTAGAAAATTTGACTTCTGTGTTTTTAGATTTTTTTTTATTTGCAGCAATTTAATTATTGATACCAGTTATCTTATTTGGCATTCATAATAGTTCTATTTGTCACACTGAGAATATCAGATAAATCTGTGGTTTATTATCTTTGCAATTTTCAGTAAGACTCATGTCTACTACTCTTGGTTCCTAGTAGTGACTAAAAATACCTCTAAATAAAATTGTTTTGGGGAGTAAAATATTCACTACTACATAGTTCTGTTCAAATAGGAAAGAAACCATGTATTTACACACTTGCTCATCTTGTTTCTTTATAGAGAAAATCTCTTCATGAAAACAAATTGAAGAGACTACACGAGAAAGTAGAAGTCTTGGAGGCAAAGAGAGAAGAATTGGAAACAGAAAATCAGGTGTTAAATAGGTATTATGTTTGTATGTATGGATATATACCCCATGTGGTTATTTTGATATTATAGAACTTGGTTTCTGACATAACACACTTTGTTTTCTTTTAAAATATACAGTTAAAAGAATTCTAAAACTATTCATTATACTCCTAATTTATTATAAACATACCCGCTCCGGGACTAAATGTTCCTTCAAACCAAAAGGTATCTAACACATGCCAGTGTTAGTATTATGGTTGGGACTGGTAGGAAAGGCGGGTCACTGGCTTTGGCAGCCAGGGTGGTGTGAGTTCTTGCTGTTGTGACAAGACAATGGTAGTGATTACATATCGGGTCTAGTAATAATTAATGTCGTTTTTAAACATTCGTTTAAAATCTTGCTTGGCGTTGACTTGTATTGACGTAACCTTCAAACACGTGGTATCTACAGAACGTGTGAAGTGCAATTAACAAGTTTTGCTTGAAAAAGTTTGTGTTTGGTTTTTGTTGCAAAACTAGGGCTAAGAAGATGGCGGATGAAGAGCATATTTGGCACTGCATGCTTTACGAGTTCCAATTAGGAAGAAAAGCAAGTGAGGCTGCAAAAAACATCTGTAGTGCTCTTGGTCAAGATGCAGTTAGCGCCAGAAAATGCCAGCGTTGGTTTGAGAAATTTCGCGAGGGAAATTTTTCGTTAGATGACAAGAGTGGTCGAGGCCGTGTGTCCAATTTTGATCAAGAAGCTCTTCAAGCTCTTTTGGTGCAAAATCCTCAAATTACCCAACAAGAGCTTGCGACAACTTTAAATTGGTCACAAAAAACAATTTCCAATCAATTGCGTGCACTTGGCAAAGTCCAAAAGTTTGGAAAATGGGTTCCTCATGAGTTGACCGACAACAACCGTAATCAAAGAGTCACAATTTGCAGTTCGCTCCTCTCTCGTCAAAACCGTTTGCCGTTTTTAGAGCAAATTGTTACCGGAGATGAACAATGAGTGCTGTGAAAAGGCGGCCTCAATGGTTGGACAAAAATGAGGCTCCGCAGCCCACGCCAAAACCTGACTTGCATGCGAAAAAAGTGATGTTGTGTGTTTGGTGGAATTTTAAAGGAATTCTTCATTATGAACTTTTACCATCTAACCAAACCATTACAAGTGCAGTGTATAGTGCCCAATTGGAAAGGTTAGCCCAAGCTTTAAGAGAAAAAGAATCTGCGCTGATTAATCGGAAGGGCGTAATGCTTCACCACGATAATGCACGACCGCATACTGCAAGAATCACTGCTGAAAAACTGCGCCAGTTGGAATGGGAAGTTCTCCCTCAACCTACATATTCTCCTGATATTGCCTCTTCCGATTACCATTTGTTTCGTTCTTTGCAAAACTTTCTTCTTGGAAAAAAATTTAATAATGAAGAATGCCTCAAAAATGCATTGACCGAATTTTTTGCATCAAAATCACAAGAATTTTACAACAGAGGGATTAAAATGCTTCCTGAGCGTTGGGCACAAGTAGTAGAAAACAACGGCAACTATATTGTTGATTAAATTTTGTTGTATTGTTTAAATAAATTCGATTTAAAAAAGTATTAGAAAACGACATTAATTATTACTAGACCTAATAGTATAAAATTGTGGTCACAGTTTAAAGCAAAGATCAGGTTTTGACTGGTGTGGTAAACTATTATTGGGCCATAACTTGTTTATTCATTTACATCGAAGCTAGTCATTTATTTGCACATTAACATTTTTGAGGCATTGTATGACTCATTTAATTCAAGTTAATAATAATTAAAAAAAAACACCCTGCAAATTCAGCTAATTAATGATAGCCTTAAGATTTTAGACAACATCAGACTTTTCTATAATGGAAATTGCCTATAAAACCAAGCAGTGATGTTTTATAATGTGTCTGGTCTTCCTGGGTATAATTACCAAATTGTGAACAATTGTTTTTTTATAACAACCAAGAGGTTTCTAAACTAGAATGAATGCCAACTTTATAATACTCTGTTCCAAAGTAAGATGCCACCAAATTTATTCTAAAACAAAATTCAACTTAGTATCTCTCATAACCATTAATTTGGAAATTGGATCAATTCAGGATAGGGCAGCTGTGGCACAGGTTATCTAGAACTTAGAGTAGTTTTGAAACTATTTGATTATTGATGTCACTGATGGTCAGAAAACTCATGTCCAGAAAGATTTGCAAAGGCCTGAAAAGTTATTTTTTATCCATGTCATTTTCCCTAAAGTTGGGACTTCACTTATGTCACTAACTATGTTTTTAAAAATTAGGTTGAACAATATGAAATTCCCTATATTTGACCATAGTTCCCCTCAAAAATGGCAATTTCATAAGATTCAAGCTAGTGTTTTTTGTATTTCTGTTTGATTCCTTCTGTAAAATAAGGCATCCTTTGGGTTTAAGTTGTTTCCTTTTAGTCTCAGGATTCATGGATGTGGGTTAGTGGAGTAGAAATGAAAATAAAAGTATCAAGAGATTTTTAATTGGCAAATAAACTTTAAAATGAGTTGTTAGCCTGCAGTGCTGTCATAACAATAATACGTTCTTTCAAATATTTGTTTATCTTTGACAGACATAATTTTATATACTGGGTGTCCCAAAAATATGTATACACACTTTGAATGATTATGAAGTAAGTGTTTAATATACAGTTCATTTTCAAAATTTAAAAAAATCTACAGAAATGAAAAAAATTTTTTTTGTTAATGCCTGTTTTCAAATTGATGACTGTTCTGGTCCAGGCACTGCTGATAATGTGAAACAATGGAATTGCAAACACCAAGATCATTTCATTGGGTATTTGTGCATCCTCAATTTTATTGACTGTTTCCGGTTTTGTACCGTAAGCTTTATTTTTTATGTATCCCTGTTAAGAAAAAAAAAAAAAGTCTAGTGGCACTTTAGGGATAAATTTTCTTTGTCCAAAGTTTAGTCTAGCTTTACCCATTATTACAAAATCAGTTAAACCTTGAAGTGAAAATTTAAAAGAGTCATCAGCGTTAAAGTGTGTATACATTTTGGGAGGATACCCTAAATAGTAAATTAGAAATTTAGAAATTTAGAAATCCTTCTCTTCCTATTTAAACTTCTGTATTAAAGAATACTTTTTTTTCCTCTTTAAGACAAAATGTTCCATTTGAAGAATATACAAGGCTTCAAAAAAGACTGAAGGATATACAGAGAAGACATAATGAATTTCGAAGTTTAATTTTGGTTCCTAACATACCTCCAACAGCGTCCATCAATCCTATTAGCTTGCAGTCATCAACCATGGTTCCAGGCATGGAGCTAGCCTTTCCTCCTCATATGCAGGTATAAGTATTTATTTTAGGGAAAAGGTTAGACAAATGTTTCTGTACATTTTTACCTGTTTATATACAGAGTAAAAAATTCAAATCTTTAACAGAAATTTCCTGAGAAGCAGAGTGGATATCAATCTATTGTATCCTCTAGTGATGGTGCTAAGAGTAAAATCTCCTATTAGGAAAAAATTTTTTTTTTTAATTTCTCACCCGAGGATATTTTTCCATTGATTTATAGGAGGAGGGGGGAGGGAAAGATAGAGAAATACTGATGTGAGAAAAACACATAGATTGTTTGCCTCCTGTAGCACCCTGACCAGGACCGGGCTGGGGAGGAGCCTGCAACCAAAGTACATGAAGGTACATGTCCTTGATCAGAATTGAACCCAAAGCCCTTCAGTCCACATGCTGACAGACACTCTGTCTACTGAGCCAAGCCTAGTAGGGCCTTGTAAGCAATTTAAAGGAAGGACCTCCCATGGCCGGGTGGCTCAGTTGGTTGGAGCATTATCCCGGACACCGAAAAGTTGTGGATTCTATTCCTGTTAGGGAACACACCTAGGTTGCAAGTTCAATCCCAGACAGGTGCATGAAGGAGGCAACTGATCAGTGTTTCTCTCTCACATTGATGTTTTGCTATCTCTCTGTCTCTACTCTCCCTTTTCCCCCCTCCCTCTTTCTCTTACTTTCTCTTGGAAATCAATATATCCTTGGGTGAGGATTGAAAAAAAAACAACAAAAAACGGAAGTTGATTGATGAGTGTTTGAGTAATCTAGAGTTTGAAGCTTACTCTTGTAACACTACTACCAAGCATTTACTAATGTGCTGCACTATGCATTTTCCATACAATATTTTATGTAATCCTAATGAAACATGGTTTGAGGAAAGGTATTATTATTGCCAATTTACAGATGAGAAAACTGAGTCAGAGAGGTGAAATGACTTTCCTAAGATCATAGCTAATAACTGATAGCCTTCAGTTTCAACATATAGCTAATTCCATTATATTAGGTCCTTGAGATACTGAAGATATCAAATTATTTGGATGATTTTCAGAAGATGAATTAATAAAAGTAATTATATTTTATAATGCTATAAGATTTTAGTTACAGAATTGAATCTTAGACCAAGAGCTTTGTTTATAATAAATTAGAGGCCCAGTGCATGAATTTGTTCAAGGGTGGAGTCTGGCCAGCCTGCCCTAATTGGCCCCATGGGGCTGGGCGGCAGGGGGGAGGAAACGTGGGAGATTAGTGGGCCAGCCTCCCCCCCCCCCCCCCCCCGAACTTTTATTATATAGGATTGCTATTAAACTCCAGTCTTATTAGAAAATTGTTATATAAGTACATCTAGACCCTGCATGAGTATTCTCTAGTTTACTTCCCGGTGAATTTTATACCTAGAGAAGGACAGATTTGGGGTTTTGCTTTATGGCTACAGTTTGAGGCAGGAGAGACTGTACAACTAGTCAGTAGTCTGGCCCATGCTGCTGTGTTCTTAGACTGCTAAAATGGCCATCCTTGCTCTGTCAAGTGTGCAGGCCTGAATAAAAGAGGACTGAGGCTGCTGTGCACGTTAGTTTTCCACCAGTTTTTCTGAGCCTTTTCTTATTTTCTTTTTTTCTGTGCTTTTAAGGAGGAACAACATCAAAGGGAACTCTCTCTACTTCGTAAAAGACTAGAAGAACTAGAAACAACACAAAGAAAACAACTAGAGGAACTTGGATCATCTGGGGAATGATGTTTTTAGAGAAAAGGGATGAAATTGGTGACCCAATAAAGCTTGAAGTTTAAACATACGTGGCATTTAGATACTTTATTACTATTTGCCAAAACCCTTGAATTTGCCTCAAGAAAAGGTACCAGCTATTATACATGCTGTAGTGCATGCAAGTCGGGATTTTAGGGTTATACTAATGACAAGTGAAGCATTAAACAGCTTCAGAACTATTTAGAGTATATATTGGAAACCTTTTGAGAATGGTTTAAATAAATGGAGCTAATTTAATTGGAGAATCAGACTTTCAAATTATTTTATTAATTTTACTTTGTTGAATTTTGGGGGCATGTTGCCTAAAATATGCCCATGTTGTATTTCTTCTTCCTCGTCTTTGAGATGTTTGACAATAACAGCGTCAGTAAACATTTTCTGGTTTGCTATATATGGGTTATAAACCTCTAGTTCTTAAAAAAAAGATGACAGTTTTAAAGTCAGCATAAAAAAATACAACTTAAAGCTATCTAAATATAAAACACTACTTTTTCTAAAATCTGTGTGCACATAATTTATTAAAGAGCTTAATAAATATTTTTCTATCTAGCTGTATTGTCTTTTGTTGGATTTTTTTTTCAACCATACAGTGTGTATTTAGCAATATAGATTGTATTGATTTTGACTTTGAGATAGAATAGGAAATAATAAAGTTCAAATAATTAAATACGGTGGCTTTATAAAACAAGGGCCATTCATTGTAAAACTTGACCCCAGGGGTTCCCTTTAAAGGTATCATTGGCATTTAACTTTGCCTCCCACTGTGTTGGATCTAACCAATTTACTCTAAGTGTTTTATTTCTGTGCATCCCTAAGTATGCCATCATTTGCTTTTGAATGTAACATCATCCTTTAAAGGAATTAACGTCACATCAACAAGGCAAAACTCAAGTCTGCCAAACCAAGTGAAATGTCCATTACCCAGAAGGCTTCACGATCAAGAATCTTAAGTTGGTAGTGGAGGCCAGCAACGTAATTGAGCAGCCCTTATCATGTAGAAGAAATGAGATTTCCTTACTTACATATTCACGTAGAGTTTATGGTGACTTCTTGTCCCTGGAAAGTAAATGATGTCCCTGGGTCCACTTTGTATAATAATTTAAAAAATCTATTATAACTAGAAAACTTAAAGGAAAAAAGACAAGAACAGTCCATATTTACATCAAAATGTTTATTTTTTGATATAGACATTTAAAACATTCATCTCTAAGAACAGCTTCAATCAGTTATACAATAAGAAATAGACTCTAAATTCCTATTACGGAAAAGGTAACAATTTTTAAGTGCTGCTGTAGACACTAGTGTTAGGAAAAAAAAAATTTATAAATGGTTTTGCACCAAAAAAATAGTCAAAGAAACTTGAAAATATAAATTGTTTGCAGTTTGTTTCTCTGTTGCTGTTTAATGTAGACCCAGTGACTGATTGTCTCCAGCACACAATTAATTTGGCCATTTCCTGCATTTGGCTAATGGGACCCAAAAATGTGATCTAGATAGTGCTTTTCACTGGGGGATTGACAAACACGCTACATATATTAGTGAATCTTCACGCCACCTCAGTGAGGTAGGATAGAAATATTACACAGAAATTGAGGCACAAAGAGGTAAGTGACTTGCCCAACGTTCCCAGCAGCACAGTTCCTGGAGGCGGAGGTGAGTCTCCACACAGGACTCGTACCACAGAGCTGGACAGGGACACCCTCACGGAGCTTTCGCCCAGGAGTCAGAGAAAGCTGCGGCTGTTCCGTTGAGCTTCCTTAGCATTTCTGTACCCTAACAAAGGGGAAGTCTTTTGGGCAACTCTCCTACCGCTGGCCAGCTCTCAACTCTCCTGCTACTGTTCTCTGAGGGACGCTTTTACATCACCGTAGCAGCCTGAGATGGGGCCAGACCTCTCACCATAATACTTGTAAGTAACCTATTTGGTAGTTTTTTGAGGTGTGTCCACTGAACAGACAATGGTCAAAAGCGATGGGTTTGGGAAGGTACCTGTCAGGGCAATAACTGCTTATTTTCTCTGACCTGTTGAGGTGTCACCTTTACCAGAGATTGAGGAGCAAAATAAGTTGCGTTTATCTAAGACAAATTCACAGTTAATCCTGATATCCCATACAGTATTGGCAAATGATTTTAAGGAGTGTGTGATCAATGCTGTATTTGCTACATGAAAAAATTTCTTTCCTCAGTCTGGGAAGTGGCGCACCAAGGGTGGAAGGTGCCCCAAGGAAAGTCTGAGAGTTGCCAATTGTACTTCTGACTTACTAGAAGGAAAACACAGTGGTATTAAAATTGGTCATAAGCAGCAAAAATTCAGGAATAAAAATAAGCAATAAAAAAACTACAGTGTAAACTGGATAGGAATTCTTTAAAAGGAAAGGCATGAATAAAATGAGTACTTTTAATTCTCTTGTGAGGAATACTTTCAAAAAGTACATAGTAAGACTAAGATACCAAGTTTTATACTAATATTTTTCAGGCCTTGGACCTCAAATATATATCTATATATATTCATATATAATACTCCAGTGTGAACAGCAACTTCATGAAATGTAAAATGTATCTTTTTTTTTTTTTTAATCACACACGAGCATTTATAACCACGGGGTTCACTAGAACTCTAAAGCAAGGAGACACTAGTATAGAACTGTAGGATTAGGGGAGTGAGTGACTCTTCCACAGATCTGATCAAAGTTAACTAACGATTTTTCTTAAACATCCAACATGTCCACCATCAAATACATTTAGTTTGCAAAAAATAAGACAAAGTGGGTAAAACGCTGTTGAACTCACATGAAGCCTATTGCTCCTTGCTTTAGAGTCCGTTAATGAAATGGAGGCGAGGTGGATGGAGTGACCACTGAAAAACACAGCCCTTTCAACAATGCTTCAACACTGTTAGTTTTTGGTTTAAAAACACACACGCACACACACACTCACAAATGCTAAGTGTATACACTACCAAATTCTGCAGCCAGCTTTCCGAGAACTACTGGGGAAAGTCAACGCTGCAAACCTCCCAGGATGCCCTAACACCTCCACCTTGTTTCCAACGGACTCTTTTCACATTTTGTTTTGATCACTGGCAGCGTCCCTTTTCTGCGGAGGTGCCGTGTAGTCACAAGTGGTACATCACTAGTTTTCAAACAAAACCACTTATATCATTGTGCTTAAGTGGAGACTGTAGTTTCGATACTGACACTTGCTTACTGGCCCCGAATTCTCTGTAAACAAGGAGGCTGTTTGCAACAACCACTTCAGCTCTATTTACAGAAGGGTTCCCCGTATACGCACAGGCACACTAGTTGGTATGCTTTCTAAAAGCTGTGCATGTGCCTTGGTCTCTTAAAGACAGTGCTCAGAGTGGAACCTATGTGCAAACTTAAAAAATCAACGACACAGAGTAGCCCAAGCAGCCTTTGCTCCCAAGTCGTCTGAAGAACTTTGCCAGATTAAGCCAGTGCTCACATCCACTTGCATTTCTTCTTTTCATCAAATAAGACTTTTACATGCAAGAGTTGTTTCTGAGCTTCTTCCAGCCCTCGTTCTCTTTCTAGTTTATTTAGAATCTGTTGACAATTAGAACAGTAATTTTAGATATTGTGGTTTTATCATTACAATTCTGGTTTTTCTTTTTGCATTCCTGATGCTGAGTGGTAAAATCTGTATGAAGCAGATGCCGACATTTTCTTCCGTCATTTATATACTCACTTTGCAAGTTGTTGGGCTAAGTCATTATCACAGGATCACCAATACTTGGGCTTAAAATAGAAACTGGAAAGAAATACCAACTGTTTGCTTACAAATATGGGGCCAGACCTCCAAGGCCCTGTTTTATGCATTATGTCAGCCATTCCAAGCACAGCAAGCATTTTTGGGCAGCCAACATGCAGGCAAGTATTTCTTCTTAAATGCAGCAGGCAGGGGCATCCTGGTTAAAAATGACCATTTCCCTTCCCTCCCCTCCCATCCTGGGAAATCTATATAGTCCCTCTCCCATTCTCTCCCTTCCCGCCCCTCCCCAGTGCTTCCCTTCTAACCCCTGGCCCCATGTTTAAGGGACTCATTGCCTCTACCCTACCTTAGCTCTTCACTTCATCTTCAAGTAGCAAATGGACTTGGTGAGCTATTCTCACCATTGACATGGATAGCCTGTCCCAGCATGACTGAGTGGGGGGAATCAGGGAAGGGGGAATTAACATATATTTGGAAACATCCATCTAATGACTGTGTGAATTCCCAAAAACAAAAACAAAAAAAAATTTTAGATTAAGGAGAATTAATCAAGGATAATGGTTTATTGAAATAGTTAAGTTAGAAAATGTCATACTTTCATTTAACCATTGAATACAGAATTTAGGTGATTTGACAAGCTTAGCTTTCATTTTAGCCATTTATAATGAAACATAAGCTGGCCCCATGTAATAGGACCACCTCTTACTCATCAGAGTTAACGTTAACTTGAGTCAATGTGGCTGTAGCCCCATGAACTCATGTAAGTTCAGGCTGGTCTGAAGGTGGGCCATACAACCACAGGGCAGCTGCCATGAGCAGGGTCTGGCGAGGAGCCAGGATCCCCCATCAGAGAGGCCCTGGCCTCCCTTTTCTGCCAATAAGGATGGCATAGCTGTCCTGAGACCTATCAAAGGCTTCAGAAACAAATCCCGGGGATTGATTCAGACCAATATTTTAAAATGTCATTTAAAATCTTACCTCATCAAAATATTTTACGATGTATTTGTAGATTTCTGTCAAGGCCACTTCTTCATTAAATTCATTTTCATGTTTCTTAAAGAAAGAAAGGCTTTGTTGAGAGACTTGACGTAAAATAAAAAGTAACCAAATATTTTAATTCTACTTTCCAACAATACCTTAGATTCCTGAGTTAAGAATTCTTCCATTTCTAAAGGTGACAATGGAGGCAAATCCCTGATTGCTTTGTAATAAGATTTTACTTCCTCTTTGTAGGTTGGGATATCCTTGGCATAGAGAAGTTTATTAGTTGGTGCTTCCTAAAAAGAAAAAAGGACAAAAAAAAAAAAAAAAAAGAAAGAGAGACAAAGAAAAAAACAATGATCACCCCAAGAGTGAAAACCCTGGGAGAGTTATCGCAATAATGCAGCTGACCCCCCAGCACTGTTACCACCTGGGTCACGTGTCCCTGCAGCAGGCCCTCCTCAGTGCTGCTGAATGACTGACTGCTACCCAGATAGCTCTGGTGAGTCACTATTATTTCTAGGCAGATTAAATGCTAATATATTCTGCCTTCCTCTCATAAAGGAACTAAAATTATTATTTTTGCATGATTTGAGTTACTGTAACAATGGAACTTATTTCAATCATACTTCATTACTAATGGCTGTAAAAAGCCTGAATTAAAACATTTGCTCTCCTCCTCCCCAACCAGGGAATTTTGGCACTTATAAAAGATCTGATTGTAGGTCTGATTGAGTCCTTTATATAACCGTGAAAGTGGTAAATGGCTGGCAGTGGTGGATTTTTCCTGCTTGTCCTGTTTATTTTAATAGATCTTCCAGTGTCCTCAGGGAAGCAAGCGGTCATTAGTATTGGTGGACCTGATACCTGATTTTGCAAAAGTTCCTTGGCAATTTGAGTGTTTTTATGTAATTTTAAGTGATAATGTTAAAAAAAAAAAAAGTGATTTTATTTTAAAAGTCATTATTTTTCACAAAATTTAAAAAAATTCTATTCAGGGAAGATAGATGAGTAACTAACAAGGCCAGTGTCCCAGCACATTTGAAAATGTATCAATGGCTTAAATCACTCTGAAGGATGCCTACACTGAGATGTGTTTCACTTGTAAAGTTTAGGTAGAATCCACAATCATGCAGTCATTCACTAAAGGTTTAGCCAGGCAGGCACTGTGGGCAGGCATTGAGTATACAAAGGTGAGGAAGACTGGAACCTGCTCTTTAGAAGCTTACAGTCTAGTTGGGGAGACAAACTGACCAGTGCTTACTGTGCCAGTGACCAGTAGCGGGTGGACATAAAGGACTGCAGAATTGGGGAAAACAGGGATCATAATAACTGTGTGTGATGTTAGGCAAGACTTGTCACCTCTCAAAACATCAATTTCCTTATCTATTAAATGAGGGTAATATCAACTACCTTATGTGCATCTTATGAGGATTCATTGAAATATACCAAGAACATAGTAAGAGATAAACCAAGCTAATTTTTACTTTGAATAAACAAGCACTTAAGTGTTTTTCAGTGTATCTTATGCTAAAAAGAACTATTGATCAAGTGAAGAAAGTGTGGGAACTACATCAGGACAAAGTTTACAAAGTAGGCATATTCAGACTGATCTGAGTCTCCTGTAGTTTCTGGCACACGTTAAGAAATCATGTTAAATGAAAAAAATGATTGTGAGTGAATGAATAAGTAGGATTTTACTTAGACAGGAAAGAGATGAGCAAAGGGATGTGAAAACAAGGTAAACTTGGGAAAAGTAAAAGCTGTAGCATACACGGTATATGGAATGAACAAGAAAATGATGAGGCCAGAAAGACTCTTGAGGCTCAATCAGGAGGGGGTGTGGTAGATAATGGAAGGTGTTTACAAATTTCTTTACATAAGAGGCTGACAAGATGAGATTTGTGTTTTGGAAAAATAACCTGAGAAGGAAAGGCTGGGGAGATGAGATGGCAGCAGGGCAAGGACCCCAGTGGAGAGGGCTTGAAGGGATGGGGCAGAGGGAGGAGAAGAAAGGGATAGACACTGTAGAGACCGAGAGAGGAGAAGCCATGTGGGGATAGGGTGGGGAGAAGGAACCTCTTCCTGAGGGAGAAAGGAGGAGTTGAAGATAATGCCAAAGATTCTACCTTGAGAGACCAGGCAGCGTTAGGAAGACAAAAATAAACACGGGTCTGTTTTGCTAAAATAGGGTGACGCTGAGTTTAGACTTAGACTAGGATCTGAAGCACCTGTGAAGCATCGATCCCGGCGCTCTTAAAGGCCTTCTACCCGAGAGCCACTGCTCAGCTCTAAAGACTTTCTCCAACCCTTTAGGCACAGGAACCGCTCAGTTTAATATTCTGGGTGCTTGAATAGGACCAATACATCACTTTCAAAGTTTGCTCTGTATTTTTATCTTTCTTTGCTTTCTTAGGGCTTTTGCTCAGCAAAGAAAACCATAGTAAAAACAATATTGATGTTTTGACAATAAACAGACAAACTGATGATGTTAGAAATCTTGGGTAAGGTTTTCTTCCCCAAACACAGTTTGTTATATTAAAAAGTAGACTTTTTAGGTATATTCAGGTGGAATTAATACGGACCAATTTCAGTAGTTTCATACTTTAAACTTAAACTTTATTAGTGTCTGCAGAATGTTTTATACTTTGTGGTAAAGAGTTCTGCAGTAGGGTTGAGATAATAATTATTTTGATTTCCACTTAGAAAAACTAGATTAAGATAGGAATAAATGAGATAGATTTTAAAGAAATTTTCAGTGACACTGTTGACTATTTCTTTTTAGCGGGTGTAATTTAGATCAATTGTTTATAATTTTCGAGACAGAGTGCTTCAGACTCAGGGGAGTACATACAGGCACACTAACGCTGGGCCTCACCTTGCCAAGTTGCTGCTCCGTGAGAGAAAACGCGTCCATGAACGCCTGGGCGATCACGGACAGGCAGCCATCTATGTGCGGCGTCTTCTTAATGTCAAACACGAACTGGGGGTTCTTCAGGATGTTGACCCAAAAGCGAAGAGGAAGGCTGTTCCGAGAGAGATTTCTTTTAAAAAACTGCCATCCCTGTGACGGGGTGCTTTATTCCCCAGTTTGTAGAGGAGCAGGTTTGTCCTTGTTATTGAAGAATGCGGGTCTGCTTTGCTGAGAACAAGGAAGGGCTAACCTGACAGAGCTCCGGAGGGAGGGCCAGAGGAGGAGTCTGAGGTGAGAGTGATATGGCACATTTTCTCCAGACAGCCCTGGGTTATGTTAGACGGTGAAGGCCACGGGAGAAGATCTCAGCGGGTCTCCATGACTGACCTCTTCCCACCCACAATGCTAAGCCACATTTCTCACTCGGTTACTGCCTCCTGGCTCCTGATGGCTAATGACCCTCTCCATCCTCCTCCTGACAGAAGCCTCGTGTGGTCAGGGCCTGGACCCTCACCTCCTGCTCATCTCACTCATTCTCACCACTGGCGTCCTCACTGCTCTTCATGCACCCTAGGCCAGCTTGCGCCTGAGGCCTTCGCCTTTTGTTGTCTGTCTTCCTGAAATTGTTTTGTCCCCGTCAGTCTGATGCTTTATGCCCTCGCTTCTTTAAAGGCCTGGCTCACATGTCATCACCTCTGAGGGGCTCCTGACCACTCCCTCCCCCCATCCTGTCACTCTCCATCCTCCTTTCCCACTTTTGTCACTACACCAATCACCTTCCAATATACTGCAACTTACCTATTTGACTTATTGTCTATCTCCACCCATCAGAATGCAAGCTCTGTGAGAACATGGACTTTTGTCTGTTTACTGCATTTCTATATCTCCAGCACCAATCAGTTGTTGGTGCATAGAAGGCACTCAAATAATATGAACTTGGGGAACATTCAAAGTCCTTTCATTGTCTACTTCACACCCGCAAAACGGGGCTCTGCTGTTGGGTAAACTAGCTCTGGCCTAGCTAGTTACCTCTGGCATATGGCTACTGGGCCTCTTCATAGCTTACTGTCCTGAGACCACCCCTGCTCCATGCCACCATCTTCCCAGGAAGTGCTAGCCAGCAGCACCCAGGCTTCGTGTGGGAGTAGCAGGGCCTGGGAATAAGGCTGGAACACAGGAAGGGAGCAGCCAGAGTAGGGCTGGGATAGGCCCAGATTAAATGGGAGAAGATCAGAATTCTGGGACCTCAGCTTTTAGAACTCATTTTAAATGGCCCGGTGAACCTTAGTGCCTGGGAGAGGTTGAACTTGCCCTGAGGAGCTGGGTCACATCATAACCATGTGCAGAGTATTTCAAACAGAGGTGATGAGCTATGTTTCTCTACCGAGGAGAAGTGTAGAATAAGTCTGGATGCTTTGCCTTAGCATAAGGTAAAATGTTAAAAAAACAAAATAAACACAATCCTTTGGCCACTTTTCATGATATCTGAGTACTGCATTTGATTAAATAAAAGCAGAAATTTCTCTATAGAATTGGAGTACAGACAAACAGCTTGGGAATTGCAAAATGATTAATTCTCTGAGGGATAAATAAGAGTTCTCTAATGGAAAACTGTATGATAAAACCACAAAATATTTTTTCATCTTTTGCCAGTCAAGCTAAACTTGTTTTAACATTCCAAACAAAGTCTTTTTTCATGCATTAAAGATAATAGTTTGTTTATTTTATCCTGAAGAATAGGATGCTCTATATAGGAATGTTTTTGTTTATTGTTTAAAACAGTTACAGCAAGAAACTGCTTGGCCGTGACAGCCTACCAAGCCAGGGCTACACGGATCCTCTGGACTCCCACGCCCTCCTCAGCAGCTCCTGCCCGGAGCTTGCACAGTCAGCAGCCACCTAAAGTCTGTCCTCACCTGTTTGTTTTCCAAATATGCACAACATCAGGATCGGTGATTTTTTTGTTTTCAGCCTGGGCGTCCAAAAAGTCAAAAAAGTACTTTATAGCAAACGGGGCTCTGCTGTTAGGTAAACTCCAAATGCTTCTAAAAAGTTTCTCAAGCACAGAGTGGATTGCCACCTAAAAGATACAGAACATCGGCTTAGGAGGTAACACAAACAGGAGACAGAGTAATGGCTCTGAAAACACGGTGGGAAGTGAAATTCAAGCTGAGAGAAAAGGATCTGCAAAACAGCAAAACGAGCTGAAGAGAAGCCGACGAGGCCAGCACGCGCTGTCTGGGGCGGTTTAGATTTGGTTCGGAAGCCTCTTGCTGATAGCAGTATTGTTTAGTTGGGAGGAAAGACACTGGAAACCTCTAGCAGGAGAAATGCCCGTTGTAGGGCTGTGTGCAAAAACCAAGAAGCCACAATATCTGGCTTTTATTAGTTACGTTCAGCCTGGAAACACTCAGGTGATGTTGCTCTGTTTCCAGAATCTCTCCTGTTGCATATATTTCTATCATGGAGCTTCCCTGTGCGCTTTCCAAAGCACCTGAGGTTTTATGAAAGCCCTATAGGCAGAGCTCTGTGGGCAGATGAGAAAATCAAGAGGCGCTGGCTGGCCTCTACCCACAAATCGGGACTTTTTAAAAAATGCTGTGGGATGCGGGACAAATTGTTGAAAATCAGGACTGTCCTGCCAAAAGCAGGATGTCTGGTCACCTTACCCTCAGCCCCTGCAGACTCTGCTGTAAGCGGAAGGGGCTGCCCAGCAGGGGCCAGGGCCAGGTGTGGGTAATGGCACTAACATTGCCAAGTCATTTCAGAAAAAAGGGATCACCACAGACTTCCGTCAGTCCCACCAAAAGCCACATGAAGTAAAATTTGCTCCCAATTTGGCATTCTTCTTACTTTTAGAAGTAACACTTTTGTATGTGAACAGAATTCTTAATTTTAAAAAGAAAAAAAAAATCGGTAAGATTTACTCTGACTGTAGTCACTGACTCCCCCACCCCTTCATTTTATTTGCAATTCAAAGAGGGAGTTGTATTGCTCATCCCCAATAACAAACAAAAAGGAGCAATTATGCTGTCAACCCAAAAAACAATAGCAAACTGTGGCTGAAGGGACTGGGAACAATATTAAATCCCTGATTGAAGATGTTACAGCAGAAATTTATAAAATGCTGTTATCTTTGCAGTTTATAAAAAAAGAAGGGGGGTCGGAAGTGTTTACAATTTAAACTTCCACTTTGTGTTGCTAGAAGGCACCAGAGATTTGTACCGTGTTCACACTTCAGTGGAAATTAAGTCAAACACATTATACACCCAGGTGGCCGGGAAAGTGCTCGCTGGCAGTGCGCGTACCTTGGTCGACAGCAGCTTTGTCAGATACATTTCTTTTACTTTGAACTTGTGCTTCCCTCGATGTCTCTTTCCTTGCACATCTTGGAATGCTTCCGAATCTGGTAAAATCTAAAGGGAGACAGAGCAGAAGCGTCACCCAAAGAGACCAGTCTTGCTGTGAAAGCATCCGATTCAGCAGGGAGCACAGAGGTGAAACTCACCAAATGGCAGTGGTCATCCGAGTATTCCACATCTGAACGCCGAGGGAGAGAAAACAGCCCATTAACACCGGAACCTCGGGCTCACTGGCCTTCTCATAAAATGCCCCTTTTGCACTATGCAGTGTATCTGATCTCGTCATAGCTCCATTTCCCCCTTGCTTCAGAACAGACTGGGCCAGGGTGGAGGGGAAGCAGGCTCCCTGGCCCCGGAAGTGTAGAATCTGGCTGGGCTCACTTGCTGGGCATTATCAACTACACCGGGGGCTTCTGGCAATGAGTAAGACAGATCGAGTTCCCGCCCTAATGGAATTTACATCCTGGCCCAGGAGAGAATTCCATGTACTAATTACACAGTTATTTAATTACAATTGCGATAAGGCTTGTGAAGAAGAATTATATGCCAAGAAAGCATATAACAAGGGCCTGACCTGTCGGGAGGTTTCCCTGAAGGAGGGAACCTGTATGGAGCTGAACCTAATGCATGGAGTGAGTCAGCCAGGCAAATGGAGGGAGAGGGAGGGGGGCAAAGGTGGGATAAGGTGAGAAGGAACTTGGCCCCTTCTAGGATCTGAAAGAAGGGCAGTTGGTGGAGCTCACAGAGCAAGTGGGAGAGGGCAACCCTGTAAGAAATGTGGCTCTAACGGGAGTGGCAAATGGAGGGGAAAGAAGGTTGGCTTTTTGTTTTGAAGATTAGAGGAAATCGCTGTGCCGCTGTTGCCTCTCCTCTGGTTGCCTGGCTGCGGGCTCCAGAAGTAGGTGCTGGGTTCCTCAGGGCTGGGCTGACAGAGGGGGTGAGGAAAGGGCAGAAGAGCAGGGGTTTGGAGGGTCAGCAGGAGAGGGATTAGAATCATGGCTCTCAGCTGGACTGGGTGGGAGGAAGGAAGCAGATCCCTAAATAACAAGCTCGCACAGGCACCGTCTCTGACGTGTGAGACACAACCCTCCCCTCGGTACAGCACCGGCACCTGCAGCCAGGACGACGCCACCTGGGCAAGAGGCTCCTCCTGCCCAGCCTGAGGGAATGCTGGGCGGTGTCCCTTGGCCACCATTTCCCCTGGAGCCGGCATTGCCTGTGTGACTGGCCATGCCACGCCCAGCAGGCTCCTAGGCCTCCGCCTGTGAGAGCACTGGGCAGCCGGCCCGACACCTGAGGGTGAGGCCTGACTGTCCGGCTGGAACTGGGCCCTGCGGTTGTTTTCTCAAGCACCATCCGTGTTCTGCGTTCTTTGCCCGAGGCTAGCAGGCGGCAGAAGAGAGTTTGGAGAGTGTCCCAGTGACTCTCCCATCAAAGCTGCCCCTTTAGTTTGCCTCCTCCGCTTTCTGGGAATTTTGCAAATGCTGTCAGCCGTCCTGCTGAGGAGCTGGCAAGTGCTCCAAAGGCTGCGTCTGCCCGTCTGCCCGAGGCATTAGGCTGGGCGTTCCTCATGTTGTGGTGACCCCCAACCATAACATTATTTTCGTTGCTACTTCATAACTGTAATTTTGCTACTGTTATGAATCATAATGTAAATATCTGTGTTTTCTGATGGTCTTAGGTGACCTGCTAGCGGTTCTCAACCTGTGGGTCGAGACAGATATATACGTTACGATTCATAACGGTAGCAAAATTACAGTTATGAAGTAGCAACGAAAATAATTTTATGGTTGGGGGTCACCACAACATGAGGAACTGCATTAAAGGGCCGCGGCATCAGAAAGGTTGAGAACCACTGCGCTAACCACTGTTTACAGGGTCCTGTCCTCCTTGCAGGGCTCACACTCTTAGGGCGAGAAACAGAAATGGCTGTTCTCTGCCTCCAGGGAACTAAGTGGCAAGAGCTCAGCCTCCGCTCTGGGACACACGTCTGAGAGGCAGAAGGCCGTTCTCTACAGCTGCGTGAGAACAAAAGGTTGGCATTGTTGGTTACCTGAAGTAAAATTTGCTATCTTCTTAAAGACTTTTATAGTGGATCCATTTGATATCTGAAAGCAAAGATAAAAGATATATGAGTTTTCAGTCTGCCAGCACTGAAGTTTTCTCAACTTCACCCAGGAATTAGATGGCTGGCTGGATTTTATAGTCTCACTTAGAAAATCAAATATTTATGAAGAATTCCTATGTTTGGGGCCCTGTGCCGGAAGGTGGAGCTGAACGATGAGAAGACGCTGTCCTCAAGGAGCTCCCAGTCCCGGGCAGGAGGCAGACAAGGCAACGCGAGGCAGGGAGGCAGTGCCGGAAGGTGGAGCCCGGCACCGGGGACCCACGGGGTGTGGCTCGCCTGGGAGAGGGGAGAAGAAGCTGGGTCCTCACTGTGTTAAGGAATGCTGGCCAGGTTTTCACAAACCGGCATACAAAGCCCATGTCTACCCTGCCACAGAGCAATTTCCCATCTAGATATACACCCAGCAGAAATCAGCGCCTATCCTGATAGTAAACTATTTGTAATTGCTGCATACTGGGAACAACCCAAGTATCATCAACAAAACGAATAAATACTTTGGGGTACAACAGGATATTATACAACAATGAAAATAAGCAAATTATTCCTGGCTGGGTGGCTGAGTTGGTTAGAACCCAGTCAGAACACATATAAGAATGAATCAATGAATGCATAAAGTGGACTAGTAAGTCAATGTTTCATTCTCTCAAATCAATAAATACATTTTTAAAAATTAAAAATATTAAAGAAAGTGAGCAAATTACTGCTACATGCCGCATGGATGACCTCACAATGATCTTGAGCAAAAGAAGCCCAACACAAGGGATATATCTGTGTGACTCCACTCCATAAAGCTGAACAAAACAGAACTATGATGCTACAAGTTTGGAGAAGAGAGCGGTGGTGATTGGGAGGGCTGGGGTTTCTGAGGGACAGTCATGTCCAATTTACTGACTTGAGTGGCAGTTATGGGAGAAGCTAGCAATAACTCATCAGCAGTACACTTATGATTTGTTCTCTTTTATGCAGGTGTCATTGTGTGTGTGTATATTTATATATACATGCATGTGTATATATGTATACATGCATACACATTTAATTTATATGTATGTGTATACATATATACACATACATGTATATATATACACAAACACCCCTATATAATAAGGAGCTAATATGCTAGACTGGACAGCAGAATGACCTTCCAGAACGACCTTCCGGAATGACCAATGGGCAGGGGATGGGGCTGCAGGGCTACGAGGCAGCCAGGGCAGCAAGGACCAAGCCCCTTGGACGAATTTTGTGCATCGGGCCTCTAGTTTTATACACTGAATGGCCAGATTATTATGATCTCTGAACACATAATAATTGGCTACTCAGTGGTATGTATGTGTGTGTGAGTGTGTATGTATGTTAGAGGCCTGGTGCATGAATTTGTGCATGGGTGGGGTCCAGCCAGCCTGGCCAGAGGGAGAAGACATGGGCAGTTGGCCAGCCTGCCTGCTAGTCAAACTCCTGGTCAAGGGGACAATTTGCATATTAACCTTTTATTATATAGTATATACATTGAGTGGCCAGATTATTATGCGTTCAAAGATCATAATAGTCTGGCCACTCAGTGTATATATGTATACTAGTATATAAACACACATGCTATATATTTTTGAGTAATCTTCACCTGAGGATATTTTCCCATTGATTTTTAGAGAGAGTGAAAGGGAAGGGGAGAGAAACATTGATATGAGAGAGACACATTGATTGATTGCCTCCCACAAGCTCCCCGACCAAGGCCCAGGGATCCAGCCTGCACTGAGGTAGGTGCCCTTGAAGAATGGAACCCTCGATCCTTGAGTCTGGAGGCCAATGCTCTAACCACTGAGAACTAGGTAGGGCAGGTGTCTCCCATTTTAAAAAATATATATTTTATTGATTTTTTACAGAGAGGAAAAGAGAGGGATAGAGAGTTAGAAACATCGATGAGAGAGAAACATCGATTCAGCTGCCTCTTACACACTCCCTACTGGGGATGTGCCCACAACCAAGGTATATGCCTTTGACCGGAATTGAACCTGGGACCCTTCAGTCCGCAGGCTGACACTCTATCTTAGTGGTGTCGAACTCAATCAGAGAAGGGGCCAAAATCTAAAATCCAGCCTAAATCACGGGCCGAATGGTTTACTGAACAGTCATAAACTGTCATTGTGATGGAAACGCAGCGGAGTGCAGTGATGACAGCGCGGTGTGGGCCACATTGCAAGGCCTGGCGGGACGAATTTGGCCCTCGGGCCTTGTGTTTGACACATGTGCTCTATCCACTGAGCCAAACTGGTTAAGGAAGCTTGTAAAATCATAAAAATTGCATGTACTTTTCAATAAAAAATTTAAAACTCAACTCACAAAATAGTACCTAACATTCACTAATATAAAAGTATGCTCATTGAATGTTCACTCAAGTATATACCTGTATAACCAGCACCTATATCAAGATATAAAATTATATTTTAAGGTCCTGAGAGGTATCTCCATTTCCCTTCCCAAGCAATAAAGATGCCTTCCTTTCCTGACTTCCATCATTGATTAGTTGTATCTATTCTTGAACTTAAAATAAATGGAATCACTCAGTATATATTTTTGTGTCTAGCTTCTTAGGGTCAATATTAAGGTCTGTGATGTTTACCCAAGTTGTTGCAGCTACCAGCAGTTTGTCCTTTCCTTTTTAAAAATCACTGTGTATATTCCATTGTGTGAATATACTATAAAAACATTTCCATACAATAAAAGGAGCACTGACACATGCTACAACATGAATGAATCTCAAAAACATTATGCTAAGTGCAAGGAGACAGTCACGAAGGCCATGAGGTGTGACACCACTTATACAAAGCATCCAGAATAGGCACATTTCTATAGACAGAAAGTAGATTACCAATTGCCTTAAAGCAGGGATTGGAGAAATGAGGAGTGTCTGTTAACAAGTTCAAGGTGTGTTTTTTTTTTGATAATGAAAATGTTCTAAAATTAGATTGTGGTAATGATTATACAACTCTGTAAATGTACCAAACCCCATTGAACTGTATGCTTTAAAAAGGTGAGCTTTATGGTATATAAGTGATATCTCAGTAGAGCTGTTAAAAAAAATTGCTACAGATTTAAAAGGTACACGTTTGACAAACAAATGGTTTCACTCCATTGACATGCTGTTGCAGTGCCGTGTGCATCCTTTTTTGGAGATAACGAGGAGCTCTCTCTCTCTCTCACACGGGGCCCTTTGGGACTGGGAACCCAGAGCCTGGTGGCATTCTAGTGTCTCCTCCCCCTCCCCCCACCACCCCAGCCTGGGACCTGGATGCCCAGAGGCAGAGGCGGCCTCCATCCCGGGAGAAGCAAACTGCTCAGAGGGGGGGCTGCTTCACCAAACAGAAGAGGCAGACCATGGCAATCCTCACCTTCTCCCGGGGACTGTGCAGGGAGAAGATACCCTGTCCTTTCTGAGCATCATTAGCTAAGTGCTTCCCCCTCTGCCCTAAAGCTCTAAGGCTGTTTTGATTCTAATACTCATTCGGACCTGGCCTTCCCCAGTTTGGAAAAAAGTAGGAACTTAGGACTTCTCTTCTGGCCTGCAAGGTACATGTTGATTCTCAGCACGTACAACCCTGCTTAGCAAGCACACAGGATGAAGGCCGCATCTTCAGGCTGCACCCACAGAGGCAGAAACACAGAGGGAGCCAGCCCCGGAGAGGCCCAGAGCACAGCTGTCCAGCCAGCTGTGTCCCGCCAGCCGCTGATGCTGGGCCTGCGGACACAACTGCTGGTGCTCCCGACAGCCGCGGGGAGGGTTATGGGCAGTGGCTGCTGGGCATCAGGCCTCTGTGAAGTGTCTCGAGTGAGGATTCTGGACTCTTAACTTTGACGCTGCTGTTATTTCCAAACACCCTCTCCTGTCCCCTCGAGCCCTTCATTGTTCTCTGGCTGATTTTTCAATTATCCTCACACTTGATGCAATTAAACTGTGTGCGGGCACCCCCTTAGCAATCCTCCAGCGCGGAGTTCTGAGACAGTTTGAAAATAGTTACAAACTCCCCCGCATTAAGACCTGGATGTGCTCTGTTTCAGAGACAATAAATACCTTTTAATAAAAGGAAGCTGGTGATTCATTCTGGGCACCTGTCAAAGAATGAATCCCAAATGGATCCCGCGGCGTGCTGAGGCTGTACTCTGTTACTGTCAGACGCTTCGATTTGCCAGAAGCGAGCACGCTCACTCCATCATCACGAAGGCCACGATGGCCTGCGATGGGGAGCACTGCCCAAAGCCCAAAGGTCTTCTCAAGCGCCGCATGGCCCACTGCGGGCCCGTGCGCAGCAGCGAGCGCAGGCACAGCGCGCTGTGCAGAGGAGACTGAGCTCTGCAAGTATCTCCCGAGAGCCAGGTGAAAGCACTTTATTAGTGGACGGACAAGTTGTGTGCTTCGAGCAGGGAAGTGTGTGAATGGATTGCCAACATTCATAGCTGCTCGGGGGGAGGCGGGGGGCACTTCCCCGGGGACACTTTAACACCATTGCAAAGGCAGAAAACTAGTTTATTCACAGGTGTTGGAAGGAGGGTCACTTTGTACTTTGCACAAGTCCAGCTGCCACCTAGTCAAGGACAGAAAGGCCTTTTTGAAAAGTGCCACAGAATCCAAAGTGTTAAGCGTCTAATGCTGTTTGTTCCATCTGAGGGGCTCCCAAGGCCTTCTGAAAAGTGACTCATTAATCCTCCCGTGTCCTGTGAGGCAGGGGGCATCCCCTGGGCTCCTACTTCAGGAATGAAAACCAAATTACATCAAAGGAAGATTAATGCCGCCGGGTGGGTCTGAGGCAGGAATATTCCTCCAGCTCAGAGCAGAGCTGGTCCGCACGGCAACTTCCAACTGAATCCCTCCCAGGCCTGCCGTGCGCAGGGTTCTGTGTGAGACACGGCCGCCGCCGCTGCCGGCCGCGAGGGCTGCCCCTGCCAGCTGTGCGGGGAGGCGTGTGCCCGTTTCCACCACCAGCTCTGGGA